AAAATGGATCAAGGAGCTTGATATTAAATCAGAGACACGGCATCTGATAGAAGAAAAAGTTGGTTATGATCTACATACTGTGGGATCGGGCTCCAAATTCCTCAATAGGACACCCATAGCACAAGAGTATACAAGACCACCTAGGAAGCATTTGTTCCAGAAAAAGAAGTCAAATCTTTGCCATGAAGATTTTAATTTATATAAAATCAATCAACAAATGTATGAAAAAAATGTTCATCATCTCTAGCAATCAGATAAATGCAAATCAAAACTACTCTAAGATATCATCTCACTCTAGTCAGAATGGCAGCTGTTATGAAGACAAACAACAATAAGTGTTGGAGAGGATGTGGGGGAAAAGGTACACTCATACTCTGCTGGTGGGACTGCAAATTGGTGCAGCCAATATGGAAAGCAGTATGGAGATTTCTTGGAAAATTCGGAGTGGAACAACTATTTGACCCAGCTATCCCTCTCCTTGGTCTATACCCAAAGGACTTAAAAATAACATACTACAGGGACACAGCCACATCGATGTTTATAGCAGCACAATTCACAATAGCTAAACTGTGGAACCAACCTAGATGCCCTTCAATAGATGGATGGATAAAAAAAAAAAATGTGGCATATATACACAATGAAATACTACTCAGCAATAAAAGAGAATAAAATCATGGCACTTGCAGGTGAATGGATGGAGTTAGAGAACTGAAGTTAGCCAATCCCAAAAAAACAAATGCCCAATGTTTTCTTTGATATAAGGAGGCTGATTCATAGTGGGGTAGGGAGAACATGGTAGGAATAGAGGAACTCTAGACAGGGCAGAATGTGGGGGAGGGGGCTTGGGGTTAGAAATGATGGTGGAATGTGATGGACATTATTATCCAAAGTACATGTATGAAGACACAAACTAGTGTGAATATACTTTGTATACAACCAGAGATATAAAATATTGTGCTCTATATGTGTATAATATAATAAGAATTGTAATGCATTCTGTTGTCACATATAAATAAAAGAAAATAATTTTAAAAAGACTTCAATCTATCAATTTTCAGGAAAATCAGGACAGAGAAACACAATAAACACATGAATTATTGTGAATAATTCTATAAAAAAGTAATCTGAATTCAACAAATAAATAGTCAAAAACAAAACAACAAAAAGTGAGAAGGGAAATTTATAGATTTTAAGTCTCAGGAGATACATAAACTAAATGCAATATAGAGACATTGTTTGGATACTGATTCAAGCATACCAAATGTTAAAAAGTGCCAGTCAGGTCATTTTAACAATGATTTATATTGATGATATTAATTGTTCATTCACTTTTAACTGTGACAAAGTACAGCCCTGAGCCACACCCCCAATCCCTAAGGGTACAGATGAAGGAAAAATGGCTGTGTTTTCAGTTGTTGAACATTGGGCAGAAGGGAGTTCTCTAGTCTTTCTACTTTAAAATATTTTTTGGAAATTTTCCATGATAAAAAGCTTAAAATTTTTTAGATTCCTAAAGTACTACAATAAACTACCACCTGAAAACTAACCATTTCAGTGCGAAAAGCCATCTCCCTTTCCAATGTTGAGAGGTGAGAAAAATGACGATCATTTTCAAAGAGGTGTGTTATATGGCTCCTGGAAAAAAACAAAACAAAATAAGTGTTGAAGCTCACCCTCAGTATTATTTGTAAAAGTAACTCTAATAACAAAAATAAGAGTGTCTATAAACTTATAGATATATTTGTAATAAAACTGAAATACAATGGTGTCTATATTTTTTCACTCAGTATGTATTACATTTCTATTACAATTTGTCTCCACAAAAAAAGCACACTCAAACTAGATTTTAAAATTAAAATGAACCAGAACAATGGTATTTTAAGTCAAGCACAATAAAAACAAAGAGTAAACTGTAAATGTCATTGTGTTATCACTTCAGAAATGTATGATTAATAAAATTCATGTCTCTCTATCCAGAAGATTAAAAAAATTAATCTTCCTCTCAATATGAATACTATAATAATGTTAAGCAAAGTAGAGTCTCTAGTATAGCTTCTTTAATAATGAATGTCCTTTTTATTAAAAAATTATATCATTCTGACCCTGACTTATCATTTAAACTACTTTTTTCAGACTACTGTTATTAGTAATAAATATTCACTCTTCTTATAATGAAATTTTTTCCTTTAAACATTTGGTAAATAGCTTTGGTAAGTTAAAAACATTTGCATAAAATATACCATTGGAGATAAAGCAATCTTACCAGTGCAACACGGCTGCAAAGGCAGCTGAAATAAAACAGAAATTGAAATTATTATTTTAACATAAGGAAATATTTTCATTTTATAGAGATACCCTTCAAAGACAAGCTTGCCAAATTTTGAGATGTGGAACTATTGGGACTAACCTTAGAGATTGGGAAAAGAATATTAGATCTTTAAAAGCACTGGGGCTAAGTTTAAAATACCAGCAGAAGGGATCAGAGGGGAATGAAGCATATATGCACAATTTTCATTCAATCATATATTTCAGCAAAATACATGAGAGCCTATCATTTGCCAAACACTACCTAGGAACCATAAGATGGAAACTATCATGAATAGACCTGAGAGAAGAAAAGAAGCAATAGGTGAGGGTAGCATAAAATAAAGAAATATGGTGGCTTGAGGGAACAAGACTAGAAGAAGTAGTAAAGGAGGAAGTATCACTTTTTATATACTATTACAATGTCAGAGTTTTGACAATAAGTCTTACTCCTGTTTTTCAACAAATACAAAGTGAAAGAAGTAAAGGAGGGAGAAGGAGGTGGATTTAAAAAAAGGAAGAATGAAAATATATGAGAGAAAAAGCTAACATCATCATCAATCTCACATGAGAATCAGTAGTTTGCTTTCTGTCCAAGTACAAAGAACATATTAAGATGAATCCAGACAACACCAATCAACTTTCTTATATAACAAGAACACCTGATTGCAGGTTCCTAATTAACAACTGCTCAGGACTCAAACTATGAAAATGTTCTTTGAAGTGAAAATTAAATGGCTCATATAATACTGCTTTATTTTTAAAGCAGTATTTTTTATTGAAAAACTCATTTTGCCTTTAAGATATTAATGGTTACRAAAGACAGTTATTCTTTTTAATCATAGAAAATTATGAACATTTATCTTGGTTTGTCACTTAACTTTTTAAGTTACTGGGTATTTTTATTCACTGAAATTTTTTTTCTTTTAAAAATAGATTTGTTGCCAAATCTACCATTTGCATCCTTTAAAGACTTGAGCTTTATTTTCTCAATGATTCAACTATTATTTTCTGAATGAGTCATTCTTCTTTCCTGAATGTAAATGATATCTTTTTCCTATAGAGGACTTGTAAAATAGACTTTGGTAATTCCTTTGAGTTTATGATTAGAATTTCATTTATAAATTAAATGAAGAAAAATGTACATTTTATTTAGTCTTCATATCCATAAACAGTGTATTACTTCAATTATTCAATTGCTTTTTAATTTCCCTTGAAGAAAACACTATCTACATAGTTAATCCAAGGGGAATACCTCTTATATGCAATTCTTGGAACCAGAAATGTTTCAAAGTTTGGATGTTTTCAGATTTTAGAATATTTTCATACACATAAAATATTGAAAACTTGGGGATGAAGCTAAAGTCTAAACATGAAATTTACTTAGATTTCATATATATCTTATACATGTAACCTGAAGGTAACTTAAGTACAACTGCATTTTGACTGACCAGTCTCATGAGGTCAGGTGTTCAACGTTTCACTTGTGGCATCATGTCAGCACCCAAAATAATTCTGATATTGGAACATTCTAGATTTGGGATTAGAGATAATCTATTCATATTTCCTAAGTGCTCCATTTCAACATTTTTTTGCTGCTAATATCCATGAAGTCTTTTTTCATATACTATTGGATATTACCTTTAATATATTTATTTTTGAAGAGTATTTATTTTGTAATGCAGAGCTTAGCTTATTTGTAAACTATTAATTCACAGGGTTCTTATTGTTTTTAATTCTCCAATTTAAACAATATTACTTGCAAATAATAATTTTTCTCCTAAACCATAATTTTACTATTAGCATCTTCTTCCCATTTGATAACAATAATAATAAACTTCTAGAATACTACTAAACAATTGTGGTAAAAGAAGGCATTCTTGACTTCAACAGACTTTAATAGCAATGCATTTCACATCGTGCCCTTAAGTCAACCTCTGACCTTCACAATGCTGGAATGAGAACTAGAACTTTTAAAGGTCATCATCCTTCTATATCCCTTTCAATTTTGTAGAATAATTTGAAGAGCACTGGCATTAGTTCTTCTTTAAAGGTCTGGAGAATTTAGCTGGGAATCCATCTGCTCCTGGGTTTTTCCTTGTTGAAAGGCGCTTTCTTAGTGCTTGTATCTTGTTGCTAGTTACTGGTTAGTTTAGGCTTTCTACACCCCCTTAACTCAATTTTGGCAGGTCATATGTGTCTAGAAATAGATTCATTTCTTCTAAGTTTTCCAATTTCTTAGAGTAAAAGTTTTCAAAATAGTCTCTAATGATCCTCTGGATTTCTGTCTATGGTGATCTCTCCTTTTTGTTTCTAATTTTGTTAATCTGTGTCTTCTCTCTTTTGGTTAGTTTTCTTTTTTTTTTTTTTCCCTAAATTTCATTGATTTTAGTTCTGATCTTGATTATTTCCTTCCTTCTATTGGTTATATAACTGGAATGTTCTTGTTTTCCTAGACCTCAGGATGTAATTGTTAGGTTGTTTATTTGGGATTTTTCTGATTTTCTTATGTAGGCAGTTATAGCTACAAAATTTCCTCTTAGAACCACCATCATAGTGTCCCAATGGTTCTGGTATATTGTATCACTATTCTCATTTGATTGTTAAGAGTTTTTTAATTTCTCCTGATTTCATCTACTACCCATTCTTCATTCAAAAGTGCGCCATTCATCTCCCGCTTGTTTATATAATTTCTGTAGGGATTTTTGGTGTTGATTTTTAATTTTACTTCATTACAATCAGATAAGATGCAAGAAATTGTATCATTTTTCAAATACTTGCTAAGAGTTACTTTGTTGCCTGGAATATTATCTTTTTGGAGAAGGTTCCAAGGGCAGCTGAGAAGATAGTGTATTCGCCTTGTTGGATGAAATAGTCTACAGATGTCTGTGAAGGCCATTTGATTTAAAATGTTTTTACGTCCATACAGTCTTCCAAGTTGACATCTGGATGACCTATCTATTGGTGAGAGAGGTGTGTCACAGTCACCAGTATTATTATACTGGGGTCTGCTTGAGTGTTTCTGTAGGGTCTGTTTTATGTAATTAAGTGCACCAACATTTGGAACATAAACATTTATGCTTGTTATATCTTCTTGTTGATTGTTCCTGGTATTATCAGTATAAAATTACCTTCTTTGTCTCTTCTCATTCATTTTGATTTAAAGCCTGCTTTGTCAGATATGAGTAGTTACTACTGCTTGTTTTCAGGCTCAATTTGCATAGTATATCAATTTCCATTCTCTCACTTGCAGCCTGTAGCCATCTTTTCCTATAAGGTGAGTCTCAAACAACATATAGTTGAACCTTGTTTTTTAATCCATTCTACCTGCTTATATATTTAATTGGGAAGTTGAAACCATTCACATTCTATGTTATTATACAGAGTTGATTATTAATTCCTGCCAGTTTGACTTATTCCTAATATTTAATTTGGTCCCGTTTCTCATTTGCTTAGCAATTCTTCAAATGAGATTTGATCACTAGTGGGCTCTGGGATTTGGGGATTTTGTTTGTTTGTTTGTTTGTTTCTGTGTGAACCATTTAAGTGTTTTCTGAAGTGCTGGTTTAGTAGTCATGAATTCTTGTAAGTTTCTGCTTTTCTTGAAAAGTTTTTATTTCTTCTATGATTCTAAAGGATAGCTGTCCTGAATATAGCAATCTTGGTTCCCAGTTATTTTTTTTTTTATATTTCTCTCTTTCCCCCATTATTTTATTTCAGGATTTGGAACACATCATTCCCAGCCCTCCTGGCTTTTAGAGTTTTTGCTAAGAAATTGGAAGTAATTCTGATTGGATTGCCTCAAAAAACAACCTGACCTTTTTCTCTTCAGGCATTTAAAATTCTGTTATCTTTCTGTAACTATAATGTGTCATGAAAAAAGTTGTTTTGCTCTTGTCTATTTGGGGTTCTAAATGTCTCCTGTATCTGGATGTCCAGCTCATTCTCAAGGTTTGAAACTTTTTTCTGTTATTATTTCTCTGAAGAGGTAATCCATGCCATTAGCTTGAATCTCACAACCCTCTTCAATTCCAATCATTGTTAAATTTGGTCTCTTAAGTTGTCCCAGAGTTCTTGTATATTCTGGTCATTCTTTTTTTATCATGTGAATTTTCAAAGTCAGCCACTTTGTCTTCCAGTTCTGAGATTTTGTCTTTGGCATGGTCTACTCTATTATGGAGACTTTCAACAGAATATTTTATTTGATTTATTATGTCTTTTGCTTCCAAGATTTGTTTGTTTTTCAGAATCTCTAACTAATTGAATTTCTCATATCCTGTACTGACTTTCTCACTTCATTCAGTTGCTTTTCTGTGTTCTCTTCAAATTCATTATTTTTATAATCATTCTTTAAAATTCCTTCTGATATTTCATCCACTTCAGTATCTATGGAGTTGGCTATTGGCAAATTATAAACTTTAGAAGGCACTGTATTATCTTGATTTTTCATAGTCCTTGAATCTCTGTTTTTGTTTTACACATATCCTGGAATATTCTTCCACTCTTATGTGGGGGCCTTTTTAGAGTATAACCTCCTCCTAAGTGTTCTAGAGCGATCAAGATTAACATCCATCATAGTATGGTATCCACATCCTTTGTGTTAATTATGTTTTTGCTAAAGGAGTGAATATCCTTGAGTGGGATCTGAGAGACATCCTGGCTCTTCCTACTTAGAGGTCTGGCTATTAGTTTAGAGGTTTTTGACTCTTCTACTCTCTTTATTAAAATATCACTTTAGTCTAGTATGGTTAATTTGTGTATGTGCTGTCTTCTGGGTGGGATTAGTTCAGCAGTAGAGTCTCTGCCCTGTCAATTTATAGTGTCCTTGAAGATTCCCAGCATCTCACAGAAAAGGGGGAAATAAACATTAGTAACAACCAAAGCAAACAACATACAGCATTAAAACAAATACCCATTGCCTACTATGACATCTACAGCATTAATTACCACAAAAAGAAGAATGATCGGGTCAACAAATGCCAAC